TTGGCGGTTTTTCGAAGTGTTTTGCCAAATATTCTTTTCATATCTTCACTGATGCAGATAATGCATATATATATATATATATATATATATATATATATATATATATATATATATATATATATATAATGCATTAGACCTCCATAAGTCGTAAGAGGATGGTAGTTGTTTTTAAAATGAAAACCTGGGTGCAACGAGATACAAATAAGCTATTTGTATAGTTGATCTCAACTACTCATCCACTGACTTCGTTGAACTGACATTTTTCCTGATATCATTTTCATAAATAAGTAATTTAGTGATGTGGCTCATTGGTTTTAGCATTCGGTTTTCAAGCAATAGGTCTCAAGTCGGAAGGGTATTCCAACTACTACGATCTAGGTGACCAGGTAGTTTCATAAACCCCCATACAACTAGTGTAACATACGGGTGAAATGTTGATAGTAATTGTGAATGAAGTTAGTCCATCATCTATCCAAATCAGCATGAAGTTAGTAAATACATGTGGATACGACGTTGTCTTTACAAAGTGTGGCAGCTTAAGACTATGTAACATCTTTACCGACTCTACATCACCCTAATTACCGCATGATGAATTAGTAGGACTGGCTCATTGGTCCGCTCTATCCAGAGATTAAAGTTATCACATAACGACATAAGTTCTCATACGATACACGACTTAGTGCATGAAACTGCATGCAGTCATCGAGTTATATGGCATTTCATTGAATGCATAATGAGAATATATGCATATAACTGTTATGTGCAGGCAATCAGATCTAAGTTGCATACTGTATTGTACAAAAAAAAACTATAGCAAATCAACTTGAGGGATAACCAGCATTTTTAGATCTTTCGGATAACTTAAGGCAACCATAATAAACTAACTGATTTTATTTTCTCTATCTCGAAAAATAGCAGTAATATTTACAACAGGCCACAGAAAATAAAAATCAGAGCTAACCTCAGTACACTTAGTACAGCGCTGGCATATTAGCTTCATAACACGGTACACAGACTACTTGATTTTCTCGAGGAATAAAGCTTTTTGCGCCAATTGGTTGCTTGCACTCTACACACAAGAAGCATTCCTCGTGCCATTGTTGCCCACGATATCGTATTTCCGCATCCCGCTTTAAATACACCTTGACAACCATCCATCTGGCAGCAAAACGCTCATCATAACAGTCAGAGCAATAAAGTTGCTCTTCTTTGGTTGCAAAAGGTCGATCTGCTAATGAAGTTGCGCAAGAAGAACACTTGAAGCATTTTTCATGCCAATGTCGTTCTTTGAATGAAAGGTCCTGAGAAAGAAGAACAATGTTAAGCTATCAAATATAGATTTTGGTGAGAATCGACAACAGAATGGAACGATTACATCTATCTAGGAGACTGAATTTAGTCTCCTGAATGCAATACAACAGGTTTATGCAATGCATTAGTAAAAAAACAAAATGATGTAACTTCCAATCAGCATGCAATCCGAAAAAGACATTGATTCGTATATAAGCAAATCAAAAATTAGTGACTGACTAGGTCAGATGACTGAAAAACATACGAGTACTGTCTAACATGGTGAAAAGCATGAATTAGAAATATAGATCCGAATCGCTATTAACGAATGAGGAAAAAATGGCAGACTTTGATTCTAGGATAACAGAAAACAGGAAATATGTGCAACAAAAGAATACAGACACAATTAAAAACATAGCAGACTGACGTTCAATAAAACGAACACGAAACTACAAGGAACACAATACGACGATACAAAGCGATACCATATAACATTGGCATCAAAGGCATTAGGTGAGAATGAGCAGAAATCTGAAGACTTTCACCTGCCTTGATTGTATCACATTGCCAGGCTTGTCCAACACTACAACCAGGACCCAAAATATACGGCATTGGACAACTTGGATGAAATCTAACATTTGATTGGGCAGAAGATGTATAGACTGCATTCCGTGTAGGCTCCGACAAATCACGGACAAGTGAAGTGATCCCAACCTCCGGTTTTAGACCGCCCTAACAGTCATGTGTAAGCAGTATACAAGAATTTCGCATCAGATTGTGATTGAACATAAGCTACACTAAGTGACGTCATACCTTGGAAAACAGCTAGAAAATCTTAAAGCATTTTGACAACCAAAGGTGAAAAATGAACGGCTAAATGATTAGAAACTCACTTATCTATGCAGTAAGGAAATCAGTTTACATAACAGCGAATAAGATGCGTCTCATGACAAGTCGTATCACACAACCATAACACTACCGCTGTAAGTATATATGCCATGCAAATAGTGATTTAAGGAAAACGAGTAGTTATTATATTCAGGTCAGTGACTCATGGAACTGCTATGATACCGATAAGATTAACGACAAACGGTCTGAAGATGACAGAAAACAATACGAAATCAGTATGTAAGTTTCAATACAATCCAGTGTATTTAGAAAATCAAGACAAGGTTTTTCTGGACGTTTCGCTGCGTGTCATAGGTTCTTCAGCAGAATATATTCGGATTTTTATTAACTATATATATATATATATATATATATATATATATATATATATATATATATTTCCGACAAACAGAAATTGTTGCATGTAGTTTGACCATATACATTTCGATGTTTAGTTAAAAACCCGAGGATATTCTGTTGAAGCTGTAGCATATACAGCGAAACTTTCGGAAAAATCGTGTTTTAATGTTTCAAGCATGCTGGGATTTTATTAACGCTTACTTAGTGACTAAATTAGATTCGGCGGTCAACTTCTACCAGGACATTCATAACAACTATGGACTGGATGTTCATAATCATAAAAAATAATAAAACCAAATATTATATTGTCAGATTGCGAGTCTACCTACATCTAGCAAGACGACTAAATTTTACTTTTATAAACTTCCTCATTGATGGGTTTCAATTCCATAAAGTAGTTTAGCACTCTTCCTGCATTGCTTTGCATCCAATTCATTTTCGATAATCATCTCAATGTAACTAACATGCTATGAAAGTGCCAAAAGTCTAATTTCTAGTTTATAGGTTGATATAGTTATTGTTCGACAAATATTGAAACTAGTCATTTGTAAACCATCCATATCGATCAATGTGGGATAAACGTACTAAATTACGGTATCTTGCTGGTTCGAAAACGACCTCAAATTTGTGCATGCATTCAGTTTGCATAGCTCGAGTTACAACAGTGATGTTTATTTTTTTCCCTTGGGCTCCTAGTGCAACATAGGGCTTCAGTAGCACGTCTCCATTCCACTCTCTCCTCTTCAGTCTCTTCAACCTGGCTCCACCACTACCCACAAGCTTTCACTTCTTCCTCACACCATCTCCTCCATATTACCCTTTGTATTCCACTTGAGGACCTGGCCTGACGCATGATGTCCCCAGTCGGTCTTCTCAGCGTATGCCCCATCCAATCCATCTCCACTCTCTTCTACTGCATATATGTTTGTCGATGGGTTCTTTGTTCGTTGCCAGCCAGCTAGCTAGCTAGCCAGCCAGTCAGCCAACCAACCAGCCAGTCAAACTTCCTTGTTGCTAATTCTTATTATTCTGGCAATCCATCTGATCTTCAGTGTCAGTATCGAGTGAGCGTAGGCGGCAGCTGTTGATCACATACGTCTGCAGTTTGTTGGAAATGCTTTTCATAGCGCGCCAAGTTTCTGAACCATCATATGGAAGCACTGACTTGACTGACATTGGTGTTGAAAATCCGAATCTTGTTCTTCGTGCTGAGTGGAGTGCAGTTGATCTCCCCACTGGTTTCAGATTAATGAAGGCCTGTATTGCTATCTTTCCGATTCTCGGTTTGACATCCTCGTCTGTGCCTGTGCCACCTGTAGTTGAAGCGATGCTGCCTAGGCATGTGGGTAGGTGGAAGAGACAACTTCCTTTAGGTTTCTCCCGTTGATGGTGATTGGCGCTTGTTTTTGTTGATGCTGTTGTTGGTTGGGTATCTTCATCACCTCCGTCTTCTCTACATTCACTTGAAGTCCGGTTTTCCCTGCCCTGCCTCTTCTGTCGACTTGTTAGTTTTCGCCTGAGTGATGTCTAGTAAACTAAATATTTTTTTCAAAAAAAGCCACAGTATTTCGAGTCAATCTTACTCTCAGATTGTTATTCGTGCTGCTTGTTTCGCACATGCAACCCACCGTTTACTGAGATGAATTGGGTTTTTTAAACTGCAGACTTTAGTTAGCTTTCAAAATGATTGAAGCAAAACCACTGCAAACAGGAATTTTTAAACTAGCATGAGGTTACATTTTTTGTAATGTGCTAAAGAAAAACCAAGTCTTAATTAACGTATTCCGAAAATATCCCTGAACATTCAGTACAGAAAAACATCATTATGAATCTTTCTGACCCAACTAGTCATTTCCTCAGGAAGAAATCTTTTTTCCTTCAACTAGCAAATGAATATCTTTAGTGAGAAGTGTTGTGAAGATCAGCACATCATAGAAGTGCGTATATGCACATAAACTTATCTAAAAGGTGAACTAGATGTAAGACATGACAGATCCAATCAACAAAAGCCTCGTTGAAGCTACTTTCAGTGTAACGGTTTGCAAGGGTAATATTACTGAACCTGATGTCAGTGGCATAAATGAAATATGTAAATAGAGCTCTGTTGGCAGTTGTTATATGGGCATATCGATCTGATGATCAAACTAAGCCAACTATCCTCGCCACAACTCACATACTCTGAACTGAGGTTAATTCACAAATAGCACTCAGACATTTTTGCTCAAGGTAACCAATCCTACTTCTGCACATAAATAAATCGATGATTAAATGCCAGTGTAAAGCACACAGTTCATTTCAAAATAAATAAACGGGGGATAAAGGTTTGAGAAAACGAAATCCTGCAATGAAGAATAAGAATCACTGATACAAACCTCGAGTCTTTTATCCCAACAGTACGTGGTAAACAAGTCCGTTCGTATATTTGCATGAACAAGTCATTCCTCTCTTCTATACACAGTACTACTTGCATCATTCCTTTCCGTCTAAATACTTACTGTATCAGATAACTTTCATCGATTTATTCTCAAATCTAAGCAATAATGGTCTACCATGACAGATAGACAGGAAAAAGACGTCTTATAAGCACCTATAGTTGCAAACTGAGTATTTCGACCCTTTGAGGACTCAGACAATTATCATCGAGACCGGTGAGAAACCGTGGTCAACAAAGTCGAGTTAAGAATATATTCTCACCGATGGTAAGGGATGATAATTGTGTTATATTCCTAGTTGACAGAAATAATAAAATGTGGACCATTGGATCCAATTCCAGTGACTCGATGGTGCGGTGGTCCCTACGAGACCAGTCGGTCTTGTATTCGACTCTCAGGGAGGCCGTGGGTGCTCACTGCTGAGAAGCCATATACTAGGGTGAATAAGTGGTGGGGTGTTACCAGGTTTCCAATAGGTCCCCAACCTACACCAGTCCGAGATGAATACTATCCTGAAATTATTCTTTTGTTTGACTGTGGTGTTGTATAAGCGAAACGGTATTGTTTCGTTCACATGAATTTGTCTCAGATCCAATTCGTTCGGTGCACGATAGTTTTCGTGCAATGTAGTGGTTTAGTGGGTATGGAGACTATTCATTGCAAACTGAAATCTTGAGACAAGCTTAGGTGGCGTAAACCTAAACGTAATGAAAAAGCCTCAAGTACTGAGCTTTATCCAGTGATGGATAAAAGAGTAACCAAAAAGTACGCTAATAAACTAGTCAATGGCGCTATTACTAAATTTATTATTTCTCTAACGAAGCGAAGGAGTCAAAGAATGCTAGACATCCTGCTGAGAAATTATTTCCAGTACACAACTTTGACAAAACCAAGGTCTGACTACTTCATACTTGAAAAAATGATCGAACTACAAGTATTCAAACGCAATAATATAAAATCGACAACTTCACTCTCAAACATTAGTGAAGATAAACATTCAATTGACATCCAATTTCTATGGAATATCGCCTGGCGATGTGGACCGTCAGGCAGCAATGCCAGGTCCTATACTAATTTTGTCTCTAAATCTGTTTGGAAACGGTGCAGTTAATCAAGCACTCGTGGTAAAAACAGTGCATCAGTATCACAGGATCAAATGTGATAACGAATGGCAGATATTGACTACTCGTAAAGTTGCATCTCAGGACTACAATGACCTGTCAACTGAAGCATGAATAGTTCTAAGTAATTTACACTAACAGAACATCCTGAACGAGTTGCCCTAGACAATGAAAAAAGGAAGTCAAGCAACAATGAATTGAATGACTCGTGAAATTGTGGTAATTTGATTCGAAACATATTTAGATGCTTTATCCAGTGGTTTCTAGTCATCTATTTTGAAGATCATAAGAGCATTTTAACCACAAACGAAAATTGTAGTCAGTTATGATTAAATGGAGCTCAAAAAAATATTAATCCTTTTTTCAATGACTTATCGTGTTCAACCTTACGTTCCCATACAACGAACAAAATAACTGCTCATGCTATTGTTACTACTAGGCTATCAGACTAAAATAAAGAGGTAAAAACCAAGAAGTGTTAGGTGATATTCTGTAGGGATTAATTTCGCATGCAAATAATTAGCAATTTTTAGAATAGTGCAATTCTACGCAGTTAGGGTAAGCTGTAAGTAAGCATGGCTTATTTCAAAATCTAATGATCACACTAACGTGAAATACCTTCGATTCAAGCTGGTTTAGAAAAGATCGACTCTAAAAGTCAGCCCAACAACTACCGAAGTAACCAACTTGAGTTCTGTATTTTATGGGAAAACTACCTTTCCAGTCGAAATAAATAAAATAACCTCAAGTTATTTTAGTCGTTGCTAGGGTTGACTTTAGAATGACTTAAAACACGCCTATTTTATATCACCATGCCTGTTAAGTACCATCAATTAGAAATAGTGGGAAAAATCATTTACCTTGGAATCACAGCCAATTTTCTCTTTGCACTGCTCACAGGTATTTGCAAACTTGGCCTCATAACAGCCCAAACAATGAGGTTCATCGTCACGCAGTATATAACGTTGTCCTGTTAATGAGGCATCGCAACTGCGACAGGCGAAATGGCCAGTATGATGTTCTTGATCCATTGCTCGTGTATACTCTTCTGAGAAAATAAGCTGAAGTGTGAACAATACACCTAGCCGTTATTATTATCTAACGGACCAGTCGAACAATAAATGAGACATACAGTGCAAAAAACGAGAGCCAATAAAAAATAGGAAATAAGTGTGTCTGAAAACATCATCATGACATTCACAACAAACATTTTCACTAAAATCTGGCCAATAGGTGCATTCCCACATGGTAAGCAAAGGTAGATGTACAAACATGACACACGGTGTGCAAAGAACATACTAGGAAATAAACCAATAAAATTTCTGTTTGACCATGGCCTGGATAGACATATAGACTTGAGAGCGACTTTAAAGGCCGTGCTACAACTGCTGAAATAGCCAATCAGCTTTCGGTATTCCGACTGGCTTGGTAGCTATTTTTAGAATGGAAAAAATGATTGGTTATCACGGCGGTTGCTAGGATGGCCTTAAAGGTCACAAGTCAATCGGACTTAAGGACTATGAGAACTAAACGTCAAATCGAAAAATGAGACAAGGTCAATAAATTCACAAAACCCATTAGTCAGTCATCTAGGTGTGTACACTTGACTGATGATTGGTTGAGTATAGATGAAACAGTAGAAACACTATATTCTAATACAAAGTCTTGGCTTCCCTTCGGTGGTTTTAAGATTCTCTTTGTACTTATTCTGATTAAGTGAAGGTTCCATGTGGAGCTGGTATTTCACGTATTACGTACGATTTACCTTGACTACACACCGTTTTGTAGGACGACTTTAAAGGCCACCTTAGCAACGATTGAAATAACCAATTAGGTTTATTTGTTTCGACTAGCAACGGATTTCCAAAACGTATAGAAGTTGTTATGGCGGCAACTACTGTAATAACCAATCAGGTCTCAGTACGTCGGCTCGAAAGGTAGTTGTTTGTAAAAAATAGGAGATAGAATAGCCCCTAAAGTCACTCGTTTTAATTCGGACAATTCAATTCGTCATTATATTATGGGCGAGGCTAAAAGTTATCCCCAGGTTTTATAGCATTCTGTATGGAAATGTTCTGAAGTGAAAACTCCAATCATGAATCCTTTTGAATGTGGTTTGAAGCCTCAACTAAGTCACTGCGATCTGTGAGCACCGTTCATCCTGAATAATTGTACTTACTTTCCGCCTAAGAATTAGAGGTGCAACCAACACTGCACATGAATAAAGGGTTTGAAACACGATTTAATAACAGACGTCTCTGTAGTCACTCTCTTAGTGTACAAAGATCAGGTTTTGAAATGTCTGAATGCAATGGTTGCAGAAAAGCGTACTAAAGTTTGCGATTCTCGTTTACTTGTTATTCTGAAGGTTTACTCTGCATCTATTTGGTGTGTTGTTTCCACCAGGTGTCTGAATATTACACTTGTAAAAACTTTGCACCCTTTCAAACACGAATTTCTTGGGACATACAAAGTCGAGTAAATACTGTTCTCTCTGTAAACACACTTCATGGTCAAGTGATAACAGCATTTATTTTTATTTATTGCAAACTGACTCAGTGCATAGGTAGTGTTTTAAAGTGATAATGGCGTAGTAGGGAAGCTTCTTTTCAGTGCACGTTTTATACCTATCTATTTTCTGATATCAGAAATTGTCAACAGTATAGTCACATATAATTACTCCCAGTTTACTTTATTTCCTAAACTCTACTGGTTGAACCCAGTTACTAATTCCTTTATTTGTACGAAGGCCTGGATACTGACGCGAGTTTCTTAACTATGTTACTTGTGTGGTAGTGGTTAGCAATAGAAATTAGCATTTGTCTCATTATTTGAATATTTCCACATTGGTGTTAGTGTTCTGGTTGAGGCATGAATGCTGCAGTCATCCAATGCTGTAGATTCAGGTACTGAATTATGAAGGTCACTTCTTGGCACCAAGTATTCGTTGTAACACACAAGTCGATTATTTAGATTTAGAAAACAGAACAAGATGAGACAACAAAGGGCAAATAAAAAAAATTCCAGTAACCCAGTAAGTGGTTCTTGCAACTCAGTTGCTAAGCGGATAACACAGAAAGTAAATACCGACTTGTGCATAATGCAACGATCTCAACGCTCATGACAGCAATATTTCTTTTTCTGTTACGAAGTTAGTTCAGGTTAATCATAATCGCTTTTTCTGTATGGTTGGCTTAATCAAATATGATCATTAAATGAAACCCTTTTGTATTGAGTGATTTAAATCCGTGTTTAAAATTAGAAACCTCAGATTTCCATAGATTAACTCAGAACCGAAGTTGTACTTATGAAATACTTGGAAAGGTGGATACTCATACATAAGCAGAATAACATAGAACGGCGTATAAACCTGTTGTGTCAATTAGACAGCATCAAAAAGGTATTGTTAAATTTAATCTTAATCAAATATGCAAGAGAAAAAGCCATTAAAAATTCAACACAAGAGGATTTTAAACAAACTTACTTGGTTGTACATGCAAGTTACATTAGTTCATGTACTCTTATAACTCAATAGTTTTATAGGGATATTGATCATTCGGTCACAAAATTATGTGCACTTCATCACTCCTGAATATGATGCAAGCCTTACTCTGATACTCGAAAAAGGGTAATAATAAATACAATGAATATGTAATGGAAGGTAGTACGAGTTGATCTACTTGATGAACTCGTACTTTTCAACCTCGTAAATCAAATAACTGCATGCAACTTTGCAATCATTGGCAGTTCCCAACATCATGACACTTATTGTAATTATTACCTACTCTATCGTAAACTCGATACGCATAGAAGAGTTCGAAGGTGTGATTTATTGTATACTGACTGAGTTTACAAAGACCAAAGACTGGCATCCTGCAGAAAAATATTCGAAAATCATAAGCTAGACTCATGAATAATGTTGCAACTCAACTTTTCCAACATATTTCATCATCTCTGTACACTTTGGGAAAAGAGATTTGTAAAATACATTAACTTACGTAGTCACATGTTGCACAACGTGGTCGGATAAGTTGACCATAGTGTCGTAAACAATAGGGACGGCCGTTTGACCAAGCATAACAATGATCGACTAGCTGTTCAGCACATGTTGCACATCTAAAACAGCATAAATGCCACGCTGGTGCCAGTTCACAGGTATCACTAGACGGTGTCGTCGACACAGCTTCAACAGCACGGTGTTCAGGTCTTACTCGGATACAAAACTCACCAAAACGTATCACATTCAAACAATCTGCACATGGCTAGAGTATCCATGATAAAAGAAATTTTTTCCAAGATTAAAAATGAATAAATCTAGATTCGATATTCAAAAGATATGCATGACTAATTATGGTATTTCTGTGCGAGAAGGTATGGTATATGTAAAGTTTTGTTTGGGATTCAGTCGATGTTGATTCACTGCACTTTTTCTGAGATTTTTGTAATGACGAATTTATCAAAAATTGGGACAAGTATATGCATTTAGGACCACGAGTAAGCTTCTCAAATAATTTGTAACAGTCATGTTTTCAGAAAAGTTTCCTTATCATGTCGTGATTATATGTCAATTAATATTTCTAATTAGCTCAGATTAGTATAAGTTTACAGATTGGTAATCGTTTAGGAATAATCGAAATCATAAATTGTTCTTCATCTGCTTATAGTTTGGATGTCATGAATATATCGTTAGACAGTTTGGTTAAGTCATTCTATTTATCCTTTTGAGATGAAAGACACATATGGATAAGTAGTCTTTGAAATATATTTGAATACATGGAAAGCTCATCTGTCTGTCTACCTACCTATTTACCACCAAGATAAAATGCATATTTCTTATTCGAAGTGATAAAAAGACAGACAAATCAGCCTATGATCTTGCATAAAAGTATACCATTTGAGGTTACCAGACCTAATACCGACATACAGAGGGGAAGTTAGTTGAAGCATCTCGTATTCCTTATAACCAACTTATTTCATATCTGAATCACTGCTGCACATAACATTCCATTAAAGTGGATGTAAGCGTCTGAACACACATGATAATGGTCAACTCAAGAGATGTAATTCGAAACAAAATGAGGTGACTAAGGAATGAAAGCGATAAAGTCTGAAAATCCACTCTCTTACTGTCTTATTAAGTTGAAATTATGCGGCAGATAATCATGAAGGATGTATTTACATCCTTTCCTTACCAAGTTACATTGAAAGTGATGCCAAGACAGATACTGAAGCTATCCGAAAGGAACGTTAGTAAAATTTTTAAACTACTGTTCATTGTATGGTACTTCTTTACGGTAGAATATGACCATTCAAAAAAGAATTATAAGTGTAGAGAAACTAGATGCTTTTGCTAATGTGGTGTTGTTTAGACAAAATGGTTTAGTCTAAAAGCTTTCATTAACGCATCAAATAAAATCTCTCCATGACATAATTTCATTAGGACTTCCTTCTTTATTGCATAATGAATCAATATAACCTGTAACAAAAAATTGATAATAGAACCTAAAACTGTTAGGTTCATGAGCAATGAACTTGGTAATTTGTGTTTATTCAAAATAAACAGAAGTCGATATATAAGAAGAATTGTCGGAAAACTTTACCTATGAAACTTGATTCGAAGAACATAGTTCTATTACGCAAAAATGAATCTACTTGGGTTCTGATTTGAGGCGTAAGATAATCAACAGTAGAAAAATAAACAATTTTAACCCGTAGTTTTATACTACTTACAAGTAGCATGGCATAAGAAAGCGCTTGTGAGTCTAAAGGCCATCTTAACAATTGAAATAACCAATTAAACTTATTTTCAACCGAAATAAAGAAACCTAATTGGCCATTTCACTCTTTGCCAGGATGACTTTTATAGTCATTCGAAACTACAGGAGGATACTTTGGATTCGAAGCCAGGTTCTAATAAAGTAGTGATGAATAGGTTGCACTTCTACCTGTGATCAAATGGGTGATAATGTACCACTTTTTTGAATAAAATGCTTCGAGAAACAGAATAACTTTCACTGGTTTTTTTTACAGTTTCAGTGGTGCTAGGTGGCGTGGACATTTGATAGAAGTCCTTAGGTGTAGGTTTTTTGGCTTGTTGAGACTCATCAGCAAGTATATAACCTGGTTAAAGCAGTGTTTCCTGTTAGTTGCCTTCAGTCAGTTAAAGCCAATCAACGTGGATCCAAATAGAGGAACTCCCAGCTTGATGAGCACATTGAAAATCTGATTGATTAAATACAGTTACCACATAAGACTACACAACATGATGCTGCTAACTGTTAGGCTACCGATGTAGTTTTAGTGAATTACAGATTAGGAAAGGTTGATACTCATTCCAGTTCTAGCGTCACTCAGAGAAATCAATATATTTAAAAATGTTTTTAGAATTCGATAATCTTACTTGTCCTACATTCTGATTCATATGTTCAACTGTACCCACACCAAAATCACGACGATTACGTGAATTTCTGAAACGATTTGCTTCACGCAATTCACTTTCCAAACTGTGGTTTGCATCTGGAATTTGGCAGTTAGCTCGGTTTTGCCAAGATTCTTCAATTGCAGCAGCTGGTCTACGATCCTGTGGAGGAATTTGTTTTCTAAGACGTCGACGCCTTAATCGATGTGCAGCTTCACCACGTGGTATTTCAGACGCAGGTAGACTACTGAGAAAGCTATCCACCTTCAGTTTTTTCGGATAAAGTAAATAACAATTTCGTGAGTATCAAATTATGATTGCAATAAATCATTAGATAAATTGTTTATAAGCGTCTTATGCCAGAGAATCATTTAGTTTCTTTGGAAAGAAACAAGTGAATGTTTTAACAGTACTTCAATGAAAATCAGGCACTTCACCAAAATCGCTATTTTAGATAGCTTTAGTAGAAAGACGAATATTTACATGCCCATGAATTATGATATCACTTAGATGAAAACCGAGATTGAAGTATGATTCAAAGTAGAGGCTTTAAGATACAATATTCTAAATTTTACTTCAAGCTTATTTTGCATCTCTGTGCACACTAATATTTATTGCAGAAATAAGTAAACTAATTTAACAATGACTGTCTGCAAAGGCTGCTTATAAACTCGTAGGTGGTTTTTCAGTAATTGAATGAGATCTGTCGTAAGTCTGAAAGTAACTTTTTCATATTCTGGTATCGATGGAAGGACCGCTAAAAATTACTAGGGACTGAGTCAATATTTGATCTCCATTTCAAGATTTTTTACGAATACACATTTGAACATGAGCAGTCAAGCCTTACAACCATTGGGTCTTATTCTAACAAGTGATATTTCCACTTCTCCCTGCCCTATAGAAAGTGTAACTTGTGCCTATATGCCATCCGTACTAAAGGCATTATGAGAACCTAGCTTGGATCAAAAAGTCGACAGATCTCACCAGTACTCTTGTTAACTGCTCGCAATTATTCACTGACGCGCGATCATTAGATGTAAAGTTTTTTGTTCTGAATTTAGGATAGGCGAAAATATTTTTCATTAGAAAGTGATATCATTTTGACAATCACTGGAAACTGGGTGGGGTGAGACAGATTTTTCTTCCTGTCATTCTAGAATTCCTCAACCGAGAAACTCTGATTTCACTGGAGGCATAAGTCACATCCTGGGTTTTGGGCGAGGCTCCATACTATAATCAAAAACAAATGTCGTCATCATTCTGTTCAGTTTCAAAGTTCACAACCTGTCACATAAACTTAAAGATATTCTTGAATTAAAAATATACATTAAAATGTTACTCATTTGGTTGATTTGTGAAAGACTAATTGACTTAAAGGTGGTTCTCATCATGAACTGATATCAAAAGAGAACCATTGAACAGTTTTTCAAAGTTCCTTAGCAGAATCCATTCTCAACCATATGGAAGATAGAATCCACACTTTTCAGTCTCGTAATTATTGTCGATTTATTAGTTGTATTACCTTTAAATCATAGTACACAACATTGAGACAATAACACCAATACATTGAACAACATTCTAATAAGTGAGTTAGATAGGAGAAACCTGCAACTTGGGATCCACTGGTTACCTCCCACTCTTCATATTATCCTTGACTCACTAATTGTTATCTAAAGGTCAGACTGTAGTGGTCTTGTCAGTCACAGTTTTGGATATAATTGTTTTATTGTGTGAAAGTTCTAGTCTGAGAATACTTGTCATATGATCGTGATGCACGAACTGTGGTAAATAACGAACTAAGCAGTCAGTACAATTAACTGATCTAGTTTACAGTTAACTTAAACACCATTACAGTTATATCCATTCACTCGAATTACAGTTACAATGAAATGATCGTCAGACTACCAGTTCAAAATTCCACCTAGTGAACTGAAAAAACTTTAATTGCACCTCAGTCATTATGTGTTTCACGCATTTGCATAACTTATAGAATGGTTAACGACAAAGTTTCAGTATAAATACGAAAGGTTTGTTTTGCACTCACACCCGTGAGATATTCGACTACCTACGATGGAACAAGTGCGCTATGCCTCAGTGAGCTTTCATATTCTAAAAACTGTAAAAGATGAAACTAGAAGTGAGATTTATAACAAGGTTAATTTTTGATCATACGTGTCTACGGGATACCAAGAATGTCAACAACAAAACAAACAGAAAAATACCAATGAGTCAAGTCACTGGTCAAAAAAACAATCAACCTTTGCTTATCTAGTAAGTTATTGCTGATTAGTTCACTTGGATCCTAGTTACTAATGTCCGGTAGTATCATATCAATTAGACTGGAAATAACCCATTTAAATCTCTCATACTTAAGGCTATCAAACTACTAGATGAATACTAATCCCCTAATTCCCTTCCTCATTAATTTACCGGGATAATCAGTCCCTAGAAGTCAACGATATTTTCTACATTCAGTGCAGTGTATCTTCCTAGCGCACGGAAATGGAGTTGATAATATCTTAGTTGTTCTAACGACTGGTTTAATAGTCGGTCAAACATGCACAGTAGATATTCACATGGAACATTGCAGACACGTTGATCAGTTGAAGTTGTCACACTTCACAGCTGAAACACAGAAAGTAGGTGGATAAAGCAAAAGTGACATTAAATTAGACAAAGGTGCAGGTAAGGACAAAGGGTAAATAAGGGAAAGTTAGGAAAGTGTTCAAAAACTCGAAAATAGTAAGGGGTGACTACAGTTGTACTATTATGGCAGATCCCAAGCTACATCACCAAGGCTATATTACTACTGGTTCCTGTCATCTCAAATACCCAAGCCAGGGAGCCTATTTCTCACTACAAGGTAAAACCAACAGTCAGAGGCTACATGGACTAGTGCTATTTCTTGGTCTAGTCTCCCATAGTCTTTTTCTAACCCACTATTACTTCTAGTATTGCAAGTCGAGGTATGCAATGAATTGGTCTAAGTAACCGAGCCATCTCCTCTTTCATTGTCTAGTGCTCTGAGCCTAACCTTTAGGCTGCTTACTTTGTGGTTCCTCCACACTCAAACGTTGCTACAACGGCACCTACGATCAAAAGCACGAAACATCTTCATAGCATCTACTTTCAATGGCCATGTTTCACAGTCGTGCAGCAGGACAGAGCAAACTGTTGAGTATTATTCTCATGCTTTGATGGGAAGATGGATACCTCGACAGTGTCGCAAACGGTTGTTGTTTTTGTCGTCGTCGGTAGTCAACCAAGCTTTTCGTATTCGAGCTGAGGTTTCTTCCGCGACCAACCCATAGTGCATGATGCAACTCCTCAAGTAAGTGAAGTGGCCAACGCATTCTACCACTTCACTCCTTTTACAGACCAGTTATGAAGCATTATCTTGCATCTGAAAGGTGCAAAGCTCAACCAAGCGTACTTAGATTCCCTCTCAGGGAGTTCAGAATACTCGTTATTTGTCCAACATCACTTAAGACAGCTATGTTGTCTAAGTACTCTAAGTTTGTTTTCTATCCCATATAACTATTCAAATATATTTGCATATCCTGTGTGCCGATATAACATTAATGTTGAAACTAATTTGTATGTGTAGTTGGAAATAAGTTCCAACATGAACAGTAATATCGAGAATCTGAAACATATATCCTAACGGAAACAAAGCACAGGATTTGAAAAGATGCAATCCTGTACTCTGTGTCATTTGCTTCATCTGTTGTTATCGTGTGTTTGTTGGCGACTGCCGGTTAGGATAAGATCTATAAGATTCTGGTCAAGCAGAGGTGATGTTTTACTACGTTTTCGGTATTACTGTTCATGTTGGAACTTATTTCGAACCATTACTATAATGCATTCAGGGACCGCAAAAAATCAGCTAGATTACTTCCTGAAAAGTCGGAAATACTAAGGTTTCGATTCAGTAGAACATCATTACCATCGTTTGTTCATGCAAAAAGACGCTACCTCTACACCTCTCAATCGACTGATTCGAATATCACCTTCAGGCTGAATGACTATGGACCCTAGCATCTTAGACAAAATAATAGTCGAATTGACTTCCCTGTGGTTTTCACAGGAAGACCGTTCTCGTTTCTCATATTCTGCATTGGTCAACGACGCGAAGCAGTCTGATTCCAGCCTGGTCTCCATACACCAGCTCACATATGACGTATATCCATGAAAACCTCGCGTAGTAAACTGTCAGTCACCTGCTTATTTTGTTTTAGACTTGAGATATCCTGATTAAATTCACTGAGTACTAGATGACCGATTATCTATATTCCAGCTGGGTATTGGCTAGATGCTGGCTAACGGAAGCGTAGCTGTAGGTTAGGAGGTCTTTCTACCAAGGTGTTCCACCTGACATTCCAGTCAACTGCCCTTGGTGATTCTCAGGGACTCATCCAGTCAGGTCATTTCTGAAAATCATCATCTTCGTGTCAGCCTTTTTAAAAGCCTATACAAATGCTCACTGTTACCTAGTACAAATGTTGTATCCGTCATTTCCTGTACTCACCAGCACTAGCAACCAATACGAAGGCTTAACATAGATTTAAGTTGCTTTTGCTTCTTGTTATGGTCAGTTGGAATGAGTTTTCTGCCATCAGTTAGGTTACGAAAATCGACTGTCTTCCACTCTTATCCACCTTATGTATCTGAGTGATCTGTACGCATATTATGTTGGGTTTTAATTTGCAGCAAACCTCTTAAATGCAACGCTTCTTCTTGGTGTTGTAGATACCGTAGTTGTTCCACAAAAGGGCAACTGTCGCGCGCCGAAATTCTAGTATCACTACAGCCGATAACAAATTTTTTTATTGACAATCTTTTTTTGAAGTGCTTTCAAGAAAAGCGTTGACTTCAACTGATCAATTTATCGTACAGTTCTAAATTACTGTGTCGGTTTATTTCCAACATTTAAATCACAGACGAGTAGAAGAGATAGAATTGTCTGACATTCTTAATAACATGAATCTAAATCTCTGGCTTCGTAAATTTTTTGATGGGATGATTACTTCTTTTTGTTAAGAAACCTCCAACCAGCAGTTTCTATTGACTTGCTCCGAAATTGCCACCACAACTAATAATACTTTGTCACTCAATCTTAGGTTACTGTGGGTCACCTAATTGACGGAATACGCTTAAGATCACATGACTATCTATTCATCTACTTTCTGCTTCTGAAGAAATATTGTGATTTTTCGTAAAGAAAAGAAAAATCAAAACAAACACAGAAAACTCACTTCAGCTGGATGAAGACCGATAGGTAACCAATGTACGCCGAATTGCTTAGCTAGCTTTTGTGCTTCTATATATTCGTTATACAATGGTGATTGACTGAAATCCAATTCATCTAATATTATCTGACTTGATATATCTGTGATATCATGTTCATCATAAGTGCAACGACATTTTGTGCATGTCATTCTGTAGGTGAGAGAATATAATAACAATTATTTTAGAAATATGTAACTTAAGAAACAGATGTTTTGATGGAACTGTACTCTGAGCTGTTATTGGCAGAGGTTTAAATAATATAATAGCTGAGCATTTTTAGTGATGCTGGTCGTTGTAAAATTAAGTAGGAAGAATGACAAGATTGATCTAACCATTCTGTGAAAATTTTCCTAACTTTCCTTTATTTTTTTTTGTCCTTACATACATTTTAATCTAGTTTAATGTTTCCTCACTCTTTTTTTCAGTCGTGAAGTGTGACAACATTTATGTAGTTTGCAGACAAACAGATCAACTTAAAATCTCATAGATAAGTGCCCTATATCGAGCTGCCACACTTAAAAGCACTATACAGTGGAATGGCTGATAGGAAATGGTATAAAGTTTAAAATAAGTCTATTGGAGGAGAGAGTTTTAATAGTTGAAGTTGCATACATATGCTGCATTATGATTGATTTAGGCTCAGAGTATATCTTTACCGTATAATAAGCACGAAACAAGTTATTAAATCATACCTCCATGGGTGTTTCGAAAAACCTGAACACACTGGTCCACATTTGAGACAAGCTTTAAAATTGTCTTCTTCATATGCCATACTGTAAAATGTAAATCGATTGTACCTAAAACGGTAGAAAGAACAGAAGTAAAAAACTTGAAAATGCACGTTTACAAATGCATAATTTAAATTTCTTCAACGATGAATATATGACATGAACTCCTATGCTTGGGGTTTGGAAATGCATTCTACTGATGAGTGTCAGAAAGTGCCTAAACTGACTTCTTAATTCTGTTTGTATCATCCTATATCAATGCTGTAGGGCCAGAAAATTCCATTATAGAATGATAAGTTCAGGAAACAACACTTTATTTTACATATATTGTTTTTTAAAGTTATTCATATGTGTTAAATGCTATTGTTATCACGAACTGAAGTGAAAACACAAAAAATAGATTTTGTAGAAGAAAATAACTCAAAGGAACAGTTATATTTGGAACTTGCTAAGCAATGGAATCCAGAACGTGAATTCCAACTTTATTGGAATTTGTCAGCTGAGTTGGTGTTACTTCATAAAATAGAATTCATAACCCATCACTGAAAATGGTAAGAGATGATATACTAGGCTATTGCGTCATATTTTTTCAACACATCACTTGTTTTACAGATCCCCACAGATTATTCAGAATAATTCATCGGTTTCTTACTTAAATCTTACTAAGTTCAAAAAAGGAAGAATCGTTCGTCTTATGTTCTTTTGACAAGGAGAAATATATGCAATTTTTAAGGTCCTTGTTCATTGATATATATGATCTTCCAGGCTTGTATCTAGCTGACATCAATACAATGAAGTAATGAATTCATTGTTTACCCTGTAAATCGATCCGCTTACGCTTTGGTTGATTTTGGAGAGAACCGTTTACGTATGAAAAGCATTTTAACTTCACTGTGAGTAACTATTGAATTTAAGTCATTTATTGTGCTATAAAGCCTATTTCGTCATATAATTAATCAGTCATGTTAAAATAATGTAGAAAATGATGTTCTGGATCTGATAACTATTCAACTTCTCTCCTTGTTTAAATTACTATCCTTCCTGATGGAAATATATTTCGGCAAAATTTTAATAATCTTTAAACATTAAAAGACTTACCTATCAAAAGAAAATTGAATGTTACTATTCTGGTAGTGCGTTGTTAACAAAGCTCCACAATAACGACCGCCTTGTTTTCTCAGTAATATTTAAATCTCAGAGAGATTGATTAAATCACATTGATTTTATTCGCAGTCTATCACAACACGACACGTACATGTAAATATTGATTGGTTAACTCGAATTATCTAAGCTAAATATAGATGGTAGGTAGATTATTTATTCCTTGCTGCTAATAATTACTCAGTTTATGGATATAGACTTAAGTAGCATAATCCTAAACAATATGATAAGATTACAGGATAAGGATAAGAGTTTACTTCAACTTTGTCTAACTTTTTACCCAGATAATTTAATAAGATTTATCTCTAACATTTAAATAGACTCAGTTTCGTGTTAGAAAGGAGAGGAGCACTGTTGACGATTCTTAAACTAGGAAGAAAAGGATAACCAATATCCTCTGATTTTCAGTGGTTCTAAGTATGTATTCTCTACACCAGTATTTATACAGATTTCATGTAACTCAAGGATTTCACACTTAACTGATTTCTAATTGTAATTCTCACCTTTATTAGTTCAGAAATACAATGTAACTTTGTTTATGACATAGTGAAGTATAAGTTTGTGCATGGTGTTGATGAGTGCGAAAAAATATGAAACTTAACTCTAGTGAAAACCACAAAGTGTATACAAACTGTGGAATTCGTGAAGATATGTATTACTTCCTCCTAGCACACTACTTAGATCAGTTGTCAATGCCATCATAGACAGTTGGCCTTTCTTGATTTGGCCACCATTTTTCCTATTCCAAGCTGAAATTGTGCATCAAGGAAGACTGTAAGGATAAATGGCTAATTTATGTCTCAGTTACTTCATTCATAACGGATTCTTAATGTCACCATCTGACTTACTTTCTTCGCATAAAGTTATATACCTCTCCACAACACTGCTGGTATAAGCAGTACTGATATGAAAGTAATTATAGTCTAAGATATGTAACCTCTTTATTTCAACAGTCTATAGCAGTATGATAACCTCGCCGAGTTTACTAGCTGGTCCTAAGCCCGGAAAAGGAGTGAAGGTTGGTCATGCGGCATACGCTCCAGCGACGAAAAAAGCCTAGAAGATTTGGATTTCGCCGCCCATGATGATTTATGTCTAATGTCTCATTGCACAAACTGGAAAATATGCAGGCGAAAACTAACAAGTTGACAGGAGGCAGGGCAGGGAAAACCGGACTTCAAGTGAATGTAGAGAAGACGGAGGTGATGAAGATACCCAACCAACAACAGCATCAACAAAAACAAGCGCCAATCACCATCAACGGGAGAAACCTAGAGGAAGTTGTCTCTTCCACCTACCCACATGCCTAGGCAGCATCGCTTCAACTACAGGTGGCACAGGCACAGACGAGGATGTCAAACCGAGAATCGGAAAGATAGCAATACAGGCCTTCATTAATCTGAAACCAGTGGGGAGATCAACTGCACTCCACTCAGCACGAAGAACAAGATTCGGATTTTCAACACCAATGTCAGTCAAGTCAGTGCTTCCATATGATGGTTCAGAAACTTGGCGCGCTATGAAAAGCATTTCCAACAAACTGCAGACGTATGTGATCAACAGCTGCCGCCTACGCTCACTCGATACTGACACTGAAGATCAGATGGATTGCCAGAATAATAAGAATAAGCAACAAGGAAGTTTGACTGGCCGGTTGGTTGGCTGGTTGGTTGGTTGGTTGGTTGGCTGGCTGGTTGGCTGGCTGGCTGGCTGGCTGGCTGGCTGGCTGGCTGGCTGGCTGGCTGGCTGGCTGGCTGGCTGGCTGGCTGGCTGGCTGGCTGGCTGGCTGGCTGGCTGGCTGGCTGGCTGGCTGGCTGGCTGGCTGGCTGGCTGGCTGGCTGGCTGGCTGGCTGGCTGGCTGGCTGGCTGGCTGGCTGGCTGGCAATGAACCAACGAACAAAGAACCCATCGACAAACAAATATGCAGTAGAAGAGAGTGGAGATGGATTGGATAGGGCATACACTGAGAAGACCGACTGGGGACATCATGCGTCAGGCCAGGTCCTCGAGTGGAATACGAATGGGAAACGACGAGTTGGGTGTCCGAGGTGAGGGTTACATGGTGGAGATGATGTGAGGAAGAAATGAAATGTGAGCAATCATGAAGGCAGGTTGAAGAGACTGAAGAGAAGAGAGTGGAATGGAGACGTGCTAGTGAAGCCCTATGCTGCACTTGGAACCCAAGGGAATAATAATAATAAAAATGGTAATAATAATAATAACAATAATAGCAGTATGATGCAAATGCTGAGTTGCCTGGAATGATTCATATAATCAACAGCATTTGTTGAATAAATAAGTAATTCAAATAGATGGCAGTCGTTTCACTCATTTGAGAGTATCTCATCGGCAGTAGCTGCAGATTTATACAGAGTTGCTGTCTTCTTAAGCCCACTACTTAAGTCAAGTTTAGTACTATCATGATGGCCAAATATGATAAATCCGGTGAAGTCACTTGTCCAAGGCCTAGTAAAATTAAAGCTGTTCTACACTTTAAATAAGTAAGTTTTAAAACTTACCTATATAATGAATCAACCTGACTCAGAGCTTAACTTCTTTCAAGACATTTGTAACAACTACGGTCTAGATGTTTATAATGTTCTACACTTTCTTACAAAAATGACAGTTTATCACAATGAAATCTCTCAGAATTAGTTCCCAATCCATACCCGAAGAGTCACACAGGTATATTAGCCTAGTGTGATGTCGTTGTGTGAAACATAATGACTTCATAATCAAAAACTGTTCTGTCCTTCGTGTGAGTTCATAACTAAAAATGTGCATTCAAGTATCATTGAAACACTGAATAGAAATTGTAATATTTTGTTCATCCTGAAAGTCACTTAACCAACTAAATTGAACTTATTTACAAGGTCTGCCAACCACATTAATGTTGCATCAAAACTAATGACTCTTTATATATATTCAGAGAGTATATCAACCTCATATTCAGATTGTGTTTTCCGCATTAACTGACTTATGAACTTTATGGATACCTCGTATGTTTTTAACTCAACAATCAGTTTAATAATTTAGAGATTCTTACTAGTCATAAAAAAGAATAATGATCTGAGCGCATATACATACGTCTTCAATAGACAATCCTCAGGTTCTACAATCATGCATCTGTTAATATTATTGTAGAACAGTCAGTGCTAGGCATAGAGAATATTATAGTTGTGATGTAGAATACGGTGAGTAAATAGAGCTGAATGCAGTAGGATTTAACATAGAACAGTGATAAGACTAATATTGACTACAACTACAACTACAATGTACACGAAATCAACAGTCAATTGTGACTGTATGACTGAAAATTTTTGTTTACACATATATACATTTAAGAGTAAATGATCGAAAACAGCTAACAAAAATTCTTAAGCTTCGTTTACAAGCTTAGTTTTGTTTGTATATGAAGCATACTTACGATCCTAAAAATACATTTTTCATTTGGAAGTAAAAAATTAAACTTCTAGTGTAGCAGTTAGTAAAGATATAAACGGGGGGTTTCGAGCTCAGGCGGTCCTGTATGACTATTTATCATCTTATGAAATGTGTCGAACCACTTAGTGAACTGATCAGATTGATATTCTGACCATTGAACTTCAGCGATTAATAAGGATTAATGTAATCTAAAGTTTGTGAGGTAACAACTCATTGGTTCGAACCCCACGGCAACGTAGATTTTTTAAGACTTTAATCATCGTTCTCATACGCTGGTCTCATATGGTCAGACTTCATCTACCTTAACTTCGGTTTGGTTGACTAGACAAGTGGTGCAATGCTTTTGAATAGACAGTCACACATGTCTGACTCATAAGAGAAACATACCAAACACCTGAAAGATACAACTACCCAAAAACTTAAGTAGGCAGAAACCATTCAGACTGATGTGTAGATTTACTAGTAGTATCTTTTGCTAGTTCATGTCACTTTTGTGTGAGAGATCACACCTTGCAATCTTGGCTGAGTGGTTTCCAGTGGACATAGTTGGCTGGCAGTTGAAGAAATTACTCACCTGTGAGAAATATCAATGTGAACCGTGCAGTTTAGTAAACATGTGCAAATTTATCATCCATACAAAACTCCATAGAAGCGATGTCAAACTGAAACCTTGTTCACAGTGTAGTCTCACATCTCTATGAGTAGGGTGCAGAACCGATGACTTAGAGGCTGCTGGCTCGAATCCCCCCGAATTGACTAGTAATCTGCGTATACCAAGTCATGATGGTCTTATGATTAGTAGGTTTCAGTTAGTTTCGGAGATATGAATAGATATATGACTGATCAAAACTAAGCTAATGGAATTATATGACAACTATATTTAGACCAGTTGACGTTACTTATATCTACGTGAGTAGTAGTTGAGGCTTAAAACCTGATTGATAAGTAGAAAAGAAAAAAACACGGAAGCATCCACTTAATCACAGGCGTGAACTACATCTACTCTACAGCAAAGAGGCATGTCTTCTGTCACAGTCAACTGTGTCTCACAGTAGTTTCGTTACTTCTCGTTTTCTTATACCCCAGGAAAATGATGTTACTGTCATTATCACTATCGTTATCATCATCAGTGTGGTTGAAGCATCTAAATATTATCCCGAGAAAATAAAGCTAAATGACGTCATTCTTAATGATCATCTTAGGCACAAAAAACCCACCTTTTAAGCCCTCAGCACTATATACTGGTAGATAATAAGATGGTGATTTGTAGTGTCGATAACCTGTAGGTTACGATGCCGACAGCGAAATATATACGATTATTACAACTATCATTGTTAGCATGAGTTTGTTTAGGTGCTCACTGATTGGCTATCTATTAATAGCAGGTAATTATTGTTATTAGGCTCTATTGGTTAAGAAACAATTTTTCTTCTTCATATCCTTTTCTGTGAGTTGAACTCAGATCACGTAAAATAGCTATATCCACATTACATGTTAGAAGATAAGAATATAGGGGGACGAAGTGGCCATCAGTTTGTCAGGTCTTTGTGTTTTTACTCAAATCAGGCAGATACAACAAAGCTGATGTACAATCGGAACTGATGACATGTTCTAGTCGAATGTGTTGGGTTTAACTCCAACAGAAATGCGAAGAAGGGTTATAAACTCGATACACCTGTAATTAAC